GTGTGGGTTTGTTGCCTCGTCTGCATCTCGCTCCTCAAGCCAACGGTCCAATTTTGTGGCTAAATTCCCATCCATGAAAAAGGCGTTTAGGAGCTTTGTTCATTAGGGTTTATTTTCCTTATCATAGCAGATCATACTTATCTTGTTCATTTGCTATTGTCGACATCTTGTTATGTACCTTCGGAACGAAGTTCTACACGATGAATACTCTATTCAAGACGACATGAACCATTCATTCAGCGAATTGAACAAACAGAAGACCGTATTTCTCTATTTGCTCCATGTTCTGGTGTCAATTCACCATAAAAATGGTTGGGTGTTTGGGATTTATTATAATGGCATACTCTATTTCCCCTCACTACTCAATTAATGCGTGTCCTAGGAAGTTTTCCTAGTCATGCTTAATAGAAAGGGAGAAAATTTTGGTAGTTGATATAATCAAAAGCAATGGAAAAAGGGAGGAAGAGTTAGGTTGTGGGAAAATGAGACTTGGCTTGGAATCTGGAGCTTCAACATCAAGAGCAAGCCAGAAGAAGCTTTCGTTTCCCATTTTTGTTTCCATTTCATTTGCCCTCACCGTTACTTACTTGTGAATAAAGATATCAGTCACAAGGGGGAAGACACATGAAGAGGGCACAAAAAGGGGGGAATTGATGTCTACATTTCACACCTCATCTTTGCTTAACTTGCAGTCTACTACCCACCTGGATGTGTATATATCTATATGGTAAGAAGAAAATGAAAGGAAAATTTTCCACCCCAACCCATGTTTTGAAATTAAGGTAACTCCAGCCTTAATCATTTATTGTTGACGATGAGTCGAGATGTATAGGTTGATTGGTACGTCTTGTAAGTGGTAGATATTTTCTAATTTCTACGATCAACACTGAATTAGAAGCTTACTATCCAAAGTCAACACGTTTGTCAACAGACCGAACCCATAAATGGGTAATTTTTTTTCCCTCTTGATTGTTAGCTCCAAACTTCGACACCAAAATGTGGTTGATACTCCATCACAACATCACCTGTAGGCCAGATTTTTTTTTATGTGGTCCAAAATGATTATAATTTTGGATGGGGAGATGGAAACAAACAATTGGGTGAATAGGATTGTAATGGACCTTTTCTGGATTTTGTTTAGTTGTTATACATGCACTTGAAGGAAAGGGTGGGGTTAGGGCAATGATGCCTTATTTGGTATCCATAAGGCATATGTTTTAAAAGATATTTGGTGAAGAGAAGCCATCAAAAGAACTCGAATTAGAAACTTCACAATTCCAAAGTCTAGCAAGTAGGAACTTGGGTTTGATACATTTTGGACTGTGGATTGAGGATGTCTTCTTTTCCATCCATCGCTATAATCTGGAGGCCAATAAATTAAGGTAAGCCATCAATTCTCCTCTAAAAAAAGAACAAAAAACACATGACTTAGGAATGACATATAGTCTTGTATTGTACAAAATCAAACCCCCTTTTGATCCTCAAGTTGTTCTCTAATAAATAGGCAAGATGTTGTAATGCAAATTAGCTTTATTTATTGCTAAACAAAATGCGCCATTATAAATGTACAAACCAGATGATTTCAAAAGACTGATTGTCGAACCTTTCTAAAAACATTTGAGTTATTACTATAAATTAATGTTATAACACGACATTATATATATATATTTATGAGAAAGAAATGTATGATAGAATCTTAGAAACTCATAGAAGGGATTGTTTATAAATTTAAGGAAGCTTCGAACTCATTTGATAGGCTTTCATCCATGGAAATGTGCAAGGAATATTGAATGTGTAAAATTGTCATCTTTTCTTTCTTGAAGAGACATAGAGAACATTAATTTGGAGAAGACCAAACAGTCCATTACTTAACAATTCACACATTTAGAAAGAAGATCGTAAGCTCCGGAACAACATATTAACTAATACGGTCAAGAATCAACTTATACCAATAACTCGAGTTGTTGAGGGAGGTTCTTGTATTAATCTGAACCACTTGTTTACAAATAGTGCATCGGATGGACAATTTGCAAAGCACACCACAACAAGGTTTACTTTGCAGCTTCGATGCATTATTTTTGATGAAGTAGTAGGGTCGAAACTTGAAAGCTGTACAAGTCTTCTCTTCTCATTTATTTTACATGGTGATAATAAAAGGGAAACTGATGATGTGCTGGCGATGTGGAAGCGCCCAGCAGACAGAGAAGCAGAGGTTGAATGTTGAATATACATACATGGCCATGGAATTGGATGGAGTAAAATCAAACCCGAAGAGAAATGCCAAAAGACAGAATTAATGGAACTGCCAGAAGACCAGACCAGAAAAACACTGCAAGCAAAGCAAAGCAAGGAAGGGACTTTTTTTTAGGGTCAGAGGGTCCACCCTGGATAGAGAACAGACATTAACCAAAAGCCCCCATGTGACCACAACAAGAGACGATGGATGGATGGATGGATGGCGGGGGAGACCACCACCTTCCTCTGTCCCTTCTCCTTCTCCACTCCCCATACATCAGGTTAGGATCTTTAACACCGTAAATACGCGTATTTCGTATTAGTTTTATAACCGTTGAATGCATGCGATGACAATTAAATTATCTATTAAATTGTTACGATGTATGCTTGAACGAGTGGTACGATCCGGTAATGTGGTAGGGGCATCTCGCTACCAGAGTGTGTTCTTTGCCTTTACTGTTCCTTCCTTCCCCTTTTTTTTTTTTTTTTCTTTCCTGCTTTCTTTGTGCTGGATCCCTTTTTCTCTAGTCTTATGCTGTTTAATTAGTGACAGAAAAAGGCAGTTCAAGTGTCAATTATGTCACGCTGTGACTGATCTCTCTCTCTCTATGGACACATAATTGTGCCCAAAAAAGAAAGCCAAGCATATGTAAGAGAGAAAGTAAGCTGCAGTCTTTGATGGGGAAGAAAAAAAGGGGTTATGTTTCTTTATTACTTTGCTTGGTTAAGGTTGGGTGATGGAGGCTTCCTTGTTTGAGAGAGCGATGCATAAAATACAGCTATAACCCTAAGAAATAAAAAGGGGGTTCGATGCATGTGAGATTTTGTTGCATGTGGAGGAGAAGAAGCAAAACAACGAATAAAGATCCCCCAAGGAAAAGGTGAAATAAGGAAGAAAGGCAGGAAAAATAAGAAGAGAGAGAGGGAGGGAGAATGGAGGTTTGTACACAAATCATTGTACCTTCTAATAACCCCAAGAGAGGAAATCATGTACACGTTGGAAAATTGGTGGTTCTGAAATGAATAAACAAGCAAAAAATGAGAAGAAAAATGAAGAGTGGGAAAAAAAAACATTCTAGTAGTTGCTGCTGCTGCTTCCACGCTCGACTCTCTCTCTCTCTCTCTCTCTCTCTAGCCCCCTCGTGCTCCAACTTCTGACAGTCAGAATCCCGCCGGTGGCCGGTGGTGGTGGTGGGAGACGGTGGTTGTCATGATTCTGCGATCACGTGCACTGTTCTTTCTCTTTTCTGGGATACTTCTCTTTCTCTCTCTCTCTCTCTCTTCTTTTACCATTTTGGCTTTTGTTGAGGCCTCTTTTATTGAAAAAATCACACACAATAAAAAGGTGATGGTAAACAACTCCAATGAAGAAGAATCACCCGTGGTGAAAAAAGGATACAACTTGTCTAAGCTTAGAGAGGAAATTACCACGCGTCCTATATAAGAAACACAAAGGAAAACTGAAAGGGAGAGGCGTGAAGTACTTACTGTTGGAGTGAAATAGTAGAAAATGGAAGGAGTAAGCTTTCCAAAACGTGGAGTGAAGGACATGCTTAAAGGGGCAAAACCGTAATAACTCCCCCAACCTAAATATATGGAGTCAGGGTGTATAACTATTTGGTTTGGTCCGGACCAAGCTAATGAGAATCGCCGTCCAAAAGTAAAATAAAAAAGATCTTAGGATCAACTATCGAATCAACATTACTCGTGGTTTGTTTTAATTTGATCTAAATGATACTTCGATACTGTTTTCTTCAATATTTATAAAATTCCTGAAATCAAAGATCAAATCACATTATATTCAATTCCATATAATTTTATATAAACGTCGGTTTAATCAGGTGCAATCCGGACAGACCAACCTGTTCCACACCCTAGCTCAGCTGAGCAGAGGTCACAAGAGTAGAGTAAAGAAGAGTGGTGAAAAAGGACAAAATGGAGCCAACAAGAACACTATAGACTAGGACTGGGAAAATAGACCAGACCGTTAGAAAAACCGTGGTTCAAACCGTACCGCACAGTTTGGTCCGGACCGTAGACCGTTAAGTATGGTCTGGTCTGGTCCATGGTCTGTATTATTTTATGTTTTGATCTCTTGGTCTGGTCTGGTCTAGACCACGGTTTACCGGACCAAACCGTGGACCCAACTGACTTGTCAATACGTGTTAACAGGCAACAGCCCATTCGACCACTCTCCCAACTCCCACAACGACACCCAAGTCTCAACCTTAGTTTTGGGAATCTCGTCCCTCCTTCATTCACAACCACATTTAATCAGAGAGTAGAAATAATTGTGTCTCCATACGACATTACTTTAATGTTTATGACGTTATGGTCCAAGTTGGGATGCTTTTACTTTGTATCTTTTTTATGTACTAAGATTTAGGGTATCAAAATTATTCATGCATGTTAGGATTAATGTGTTAAGAAAAATAACAATTATTTTTCTTGGTTATTGGTTCAATTTTTCGTGTGGTTTACTAAACAAATTATTCATTTTTTGTTAAGTGTGGTCTATCTGGACCAGATCAGACCAAACCAGACCATACAGGCGTGATCTGGACCGGACCGTATAGTCTGTGGTCTATACTTCAGTCTCTCGGTCTGAACCATAGACCAGACCGCACCGTTTCTCAACAATACCATAGACACTGGTTAATGCTTTTAGAGGCTGCATTTCACCAGTTCGGTTAGGCATAGAGAAAAGGTAAAAGAGAAAGCCGTTGAATGAGAGAGAATCAGGAGGGAGGATAGGGGTAGTTTGGGGAAGAGTGTGCTCAAAGTTCTTTTTGGTCAGTTTTTGTTACCAATAAACAATTAATATTAGTTAGTTACTTCACAGGACAGGAGCACCAGGAAGCAAGCAAAGCAACAACTGCAAGAAGGAAGTGGGTGGTAGACTGGTGAGGAAGAAGAAGAAGAAGAAGTTAAGGCACCAAGTGAGTGAGTGAAGGTTAAGGAAAATGATAGTGGTTGCAGGGGCGGACCCAGGGAGGTTTAGGGGTGTCTCCGGACACCCCTAAATTTTGGGAAAATGATTATCCAACCCCGGTGATAATTTACGTATGGACAAAAAAATATAATTGATAGTGAGGGACACCCCTTAAATTTGAAAAAATGATTATCCTACTGTCATTTGTGTATAGGAATATAAGTGGTAGGTTGGATAATTCAAATCTAGAACACTATTATTATTAATAAACTTAATTTCCGTTGAGCTAAACTCATTTGTTGTTCGATTTTGAACAATGTGTAATAGTAAAATGGCATTCCCTATCTCTAATTATTTTAAAAACCTAACAATTAAACTAATTTCAAACTACTTTAATTTGTATTGATTTTATGATTGTACGACAAGTGTTGAAAGAGTCTTTCAGCTTTGGGTTACATCAAGAACAAGTTTACAAATCGAATATGCGATAAGTTCGTGAATGATTGTCTAGTAGTGTATATAGAGACAATTTTTTTAACACTATAGACACCAAGTGTATTCTACAATTATTTTCGAATATGAAAACACATTATGGACTTTTTTAACCTGTACGAGTAAGGTATTTTCGTATTTACAATTTTATTTTTATTAATTATTTTTACTTAATTTATTTTTTAAAAGAGGACACCCCTATGAAAAATTTCTGGGTCCGCCACTGAGTGGTTGTTGTTGTTGTTGCCATTGCTGTTGTTACAGTTGCCTGCCCCTGCCGCCTTACTTCTATTCCCCCTTTCTTCTCCTTCTCCTTCTACCTGCAATCACTCTTTCCTTTCTCCCTCTCTTTTCCTCTATTCTTAATTTTCCCCAACTACCCCTATCACTTTCTCTCTCTCTCTCCCTCACCTCCTCCCTTTTTCACATTGTCTTTCTCTTCCTAGAAATACCCACTTCCCAAAATTTCCTCGTTTTTAGCTGCTGCTCTTACTCTCTTCTTCCTCTTCTTCTTTCCCTACTTGTTTTTTTCACATCTTTGGGTCTGAAACTCTGAATTCAGGAGAAGGGTGTGGTGATTTCTTGCTAAAGTTGCGAACTTTGTGGTCTGAATTCACTGCTGCTCGAAATTTGTGCTGTCCTTTCATCTGGGGTTCTATGATGGATGCACCGCCGTCTCCTTCCCCTGTTTCTCCTCCCGGCGGCGGCGGAGGAGGGGAGGATTGTTGTGTAAAAGTAGCGGTACACGTCAGACCGCTCATCGCCGACGAGAAAGCTCAAGGATGTAAAGATTGCGTCACTGTTGTCCCTGGGAAGCCTCAGGTACGGCATTTTCCTCTAGAGTGTCTGCTGCCCTTTATTTACTGCCCCCTGAAGTTAATGCCCGCCAAAAAAAAAGTAAATAAAGGATGGAACAATGGGTTGGGTTTTGTTTGTTCGGTCAGCAGAGTGAGGAATGAACAGAAAGCTTTGATCTTTCTTGCTCTGGTGATGGATTGAGCCAGAGTGGTAGGAGATCTAGATCTCAGCAGCTGCGGGGAAGTGGGAACCTTGGGGATTTATTTTTTCTTTCCGTTTCACTGCTGGTAGTTCTTTTTTTTTTTAATACTAAAACGGGAAATTTACCAGAGTGTCGTGGTTTCTTTTTGACCCGTCACTGCGAAGTAGGAGTTTTTGGGTGGGATGACGGGAGGAAGTGCAGAAGCCCAGAAAAGTGATCTCCTTCCCATTTCCGTATTTGGCTATTTTGTATTCTCGAAATTGGATTTGATAAAAAAAAAATTCAGGTGAAAAAGGTTGAATGGTCATTCTCTGTGATGGGAAAGTTTTTGCGGCCAATTTCTGGTGTCGGCTAATTTGTTTTGTTCCTTTCTGTTTTCCTCCATACGTATACTACTAGCTCAAATTTTGTAATTACAGTTCCGAGTTCTAAGGCAGTTAGGCTAATGGTGCAGGTTCAAATAGGTACACATTCCTTTACATTCGATCATGTCTATGGGAGCACGGGTTCACCATCGACAGCCATGTTCGAGGAGTGTGTTGCTCCATTGGTTGATGGCTTGTTCCAGGGTTACAATGCTACTGTCCTTGCCTATGGTCAGGTAGGTATTCAAAGGTTTGATTTTGAATGGGAATCATCATCAGTGTCATTGTTCTTCTGTTCAATTTGTTGAATGCAAGTATTTATTCGCAGACGGGATCCGGAAAGACATATACAATGGGTACCGGTTTCAAAGAAAGCTACCAAGCTGGAATAGTTCCTCAAGTGATGAGTGTACTGTTCGGAAAGATAGAGACTTTGAAGCATCAAACTGAATTCCAGCTCCATGTTTCATTCATTGAGGTTTGTTGTAACACTCTGTGCTGCCTTCCTCACCTGGAACTCTACCTTTCTACTTGTGTCTGAGTAGCTCAATGAAGAGTGTTCTTCCATTGTGTGACAGATTCTGAAAGAAGAAGTGAGAGACTTGCTGGATCCCTCGTGCCTGCACAAGGCAGAATCTCCGAATGGACATGCGGGGAAAGTAAACGTGCCAGGAAAGCCACCAATACAAATTCGAGAATCTTCAAACGGCGTGATAACGCTTGCAGGATCCACGGAAGTTAGTGTTGGCAGTTTGAAGGAAATGGCCGCTTACCTAGAGCAAGGATCTTTGAGCAGGGCAACTGGGAGTACAAATATGAACAACCAATCAAGGTAAGTTATTCCTATATGGAGTACAATAGCTGGCTTCCACAGTAAGTCTAAGATCCAGGAGATAGTTAGAGATAATGAAAAGATGATACTAACATTCTCTTTGCCGGTTTTAATCATTTGGGGCGATTGTTTTCACTTGTTGGTGTAGCCGTTCCCACGCAATTTTCACCATCACGCTGGAGCAAATGCAGAAAATCAATTCACTCTCTACTGGAGATGGGAGTCAAAATGATGGGATGAACGATGAGTATCTTTGCGCTAAGTTGCATTTGGTAGATCTAGCAGGATCTGAGAGGGCCAAGAGGACAGGTTCAGATGGCTTGCGTTTCAAGGAAGGTTGTTTTTTGAATTTATTTATTTTTAATTATGTTTTGATATATTCTTGTTCAAGATGGAACTTATGTATTTTTTCTATTTATACAAACAGGCATTCACATCAACAAGGGGCTTTTGGCACTTGGCAATGTGATCAGCGCACTTGGGGATGAGAAAAAGCGGAAAGAAGGTCTTCATGTTCCTTATCGGGACAGTAAATTGACTCGGCTTTTGCAGGACTCGCTTGGCGGTAACAGCAGAACTTGCATGATAGGTAGCTTTGCATGCATTTGTCTTCTTATTCTTCTACCACTTATTTTTAAATGCATTTCTCTAACATTGTGAAAATGCATCTCTTGCTTTTCCCAGCTTGCATTAGCCCTGCTGATATAAATGCAGAGGAAACCCTGAACACTCTAAAGTATGCGAATCGTGCTCGGAATATTAAAAACAAGCCTGTTGTAAGTACCTGGCAATAATTTAGGAAATGCAATCTATTGTTTGTACCAAACCTATCATTGAACATCCATTTTGCATCTTCTTGTTTTCATAGGTCAATAGAGATCCAATGTCAAGTGAGATGCTTAAAATGCGGCAACAGCTGGAGTATCTTCAGGCAGAACTCTGTGCTCGAGGAGGATCTTCATCCGATGAAGTGCAAGTATGTTTAAATGATGACCTAAACTATCTTGCATTCCTTATAATTTCACTGCATAGTTGGTCTAAGAGATCTCTCATGATGTAGGTTCTCAAGGAAAGAATCGCATGGCTTGAAGCTACAAACGAGGATCTCTGTAGAGAGCTTCATGTATATCGCAGCAGGTGTGCTGCTGTGGATCCCCGTGACATAGATGCTCAAGTATGTTACGAACTCCTTGTATTCTTTTAGAATGGCCTTTTCTTTTATCAAGCTTGCTGTTAATTTGAATAAAACCAATGTAACATTAGGTAGGCTGTAGGGATTGAATGTAGAAAATTTCATTTTCCCCCTCCTTTCAGGACGCTAGTATATGTTCTGTAAAAGGTGAGGGACTCAAAAGGAGCTTACGCAGTCTAGAAGCATCAGACTATCAAATGGTTGAAACAGTACAGAGCGATACTAGAGAAATTGATGATGAAGTAGCTAAAGAATGGGAGCACACGCTTCTCCAAAGCACAATGGACAAGGAGCTGCACGAGTTGAACAGGCGCTTGGAAGAGAAAGAGGTATGTTTTTCTTTTCCAGGTGATACTTTCTGCTGAAACATGCACAAAAGACCTTACGTGCTAATCCTTGTACATCTATGATCTAATCTCAACTAGTCCAAAATTTCACTTAAAGCTTGCATTGCAGTTTTCTGATGTTTGTTGTTATCTTAAATTTATGAGCAGTCGGAGATGAAACTTGTTGGAGGTTTCGACACTGTAGCACTCAAGCAACACTTCGGCAAGAAAATAATGGAAATGGAGGATGAGAAAAGAGTTGTGCAGGTTTAAGATTGCACCTAGAAACCTTTTTATTGTTTTATCTTGCTAGTCAAGTTTCATTTGATCGGACTGCTTATTTTGACTGCAGCAAGAGCGAGACCGTTTGCTAGCTGAAATCGAAAATCTCTCAGCTGGCTCGGATGGGCATGCTCAGAAATTGCAAGATGTTCACTCCCAGAAATTGAAGACATTAGAGACACAGGTTTGTTATATCTTTCTCTTTCAGAGAGAGTGTTTAGCCATTTCATGTTGAAGTTGTTATAAACAAGCTTTGTAAATTGCTGTAATTCCAGATTTCAGATCTGAAGAAGAAACAGGAGAGCCAGGTCCAGCTTTTGAAGCAGAAACAAAAAAGCGATGAAGCGGCAAAGAAATTGCAAGAAGAGATACAATCTATAAAGGCACAGAAGGTCAGATAGACACCTTCAATTATTCAGAGTCTGAATTGTACCTTTTTCGTGGCATTTTGCTTAATCTCTGTGTATGTGTCCTTGTTTTTTTCTTGCTTGCACAGGTTCAATTGCAACACAGAATGAAGCAAGAGGCGGAACAATTTCGACAATGGAAGGCCTCTAGAGAAAAGGAATTGCTTCAGGTATCATTTCAAACTCGCTTGAGAATATACTGCTGCTGTAAAGGATTTGATCAGTACAGAAGGTTGTTTGGGTTTTGACATGTCTAGTTCTCAGCTGTACTTTGCTCTAAAGCAGTTTGTATATGCTTTTGTTCCATTGTAGCTACGCAAGGAGGGGAGAAGAAATGAATACGAAAGGCATAAGCTACAAGCAATAAACCAGCGCCAGAAAATGGTGAGCCTCTTCCAAGCTTACAATGCCCCCCAGTATTTCGCTGTATCAATATTAGAAATATTGTGATTGTAAAGCTGTCTACTGTTTGACATAGACAACTTTTGCATTTTACAGGTTCTGCAAAGAAAAACAGAGGAAGCTGCTGTTGCTACCAAGAGGCTAAAGGAATTGCTTGAAGGCCGAAAATCTTCTCCACGTGAAAACGGTAGAAACCGATTATCTCTTTCGTACTTGTTCATTACATGCCACTATCTGTAACAGAACTCTTTCCAATAGCTTTCTTCTCATTCTTTCCAACGAAATGACTTGGTCATATTACATTTGCCAGGTCTTTCCAATGGACATGTAGCCAATGGACAGGTACTTTCTATTTCTTTTCTCCCTTCCCGAGGAAACTTCTTTGCTTAGCCATCATGGAGAATTGGTTTAAAATTTAATCTTTGAAACTCTCTATTGCAGAGCAATGAAAAATCTCTACAAAGATGGCTTGATCATGAGCTAGAAGTCATGGTGAATGTTCATGAAGTTCGCTTTGAGTATGAGAAGCAAAGCCAAGTGTAAGAAATCATTCTGTAGCCAGCAATTTTTTTTTTTTTTTTTTTTTTTTTTTTTTTTTTTTGATAAGGGTGATATAGGTTCATTTTTTGTTGCTATTAAGGTACTACTTAAGGGATTCGAACCTGGGACCTCCAGGTTCTAGGCTAGTGGTGTTACCACTAGGCCAAGCCAGCAATTTAGAGCTTTGGATTGTCTACTTCATAATCTAAATCTCACTGTGGTGTTCATATTCAGGCGAGCTGCACTGGGCGAAGAGCTTGCTGTGTTGAGACAGGTGGATGAGCTAGCTTCAAAAGGATTAACCCCTCCAAAGGGAAAGAATGGATTTGCTAGGTACAATGGTTATCGAAGTGATTGCATCGATGAATGAAAAAAAATGCTTCAGTATATTGAACCAGTTCTTCTTTCTTCTCTCTTCTCTCTTCAGGGCTTCATCCATGTCACCGAATGCCAGAATGTCCAGAATAGCCTCACTCGAGAGCATGTTGAACATATCATCTAACTCTCTCGTGGCTATGGCTTCACAACTTTCAGAAGCAGAAGAGCGTGAACGCAGCTTCACCACCCGTGGGCGTTGGAACCAATTGAGGTCCATGGGAGAGGCCAAGAGCTTGCTTCAGCACATGTTCAACTCTCTGGGGGATGCAAGGTGCTCGATCTTTCTTGACCATGGATGCCATAAATTTTAAGTTTCATGCATATAAGCCTCTATGAGGTAACCTGAGAATGAAACACTCATTCAAATGTTTGGATGTCTAACAATAGGTGCCAAATGTGGGAGAAGGATATGGATATCAAGGAAATGAAGGAACAGTTCAAAGAACTTGTTAACCTATTGCGTCAAAGCGAGACTCGAAGAAAGGAAGTCGAGAAGGAGCTGAGGTTGAGAGAACAAGCAGCTGCTATTGCTTTGGCTACAGCAGCTTCAGTAGGGGTAAATATGAAAGCATTCATGATTCGGCAACAAAATTTATGAACCCAACTTGGGCAACAATTTCTGACGATGATGACCATTTTTCAGGCTGGCCATGAACAAGGAACCCCGCCCAATTCACTAAAACACGGTGCTGATGAAATGATGAGCAGTCCCTTGTCTCCGGTATCTGTGCCAGCACCGAAACAGCTAAAATATACACCAGGAATAGTGAACGTCCCAGTCAGAGAATCTGCAGCTTTTATAGACCAATCGAGAAAAGTTAGTATCTTTCTTTTATTTCCCCTCTTGAATGCTAAGTGCTCTCCAAACTACATCAAATTTTCAGAAGAATGCCAGCAATTCACCAACAAACCACCCACACATTCAAACTAGACCTGGAAGTCCACCAACCCACCCCTTGCCATCTCTACATTCAGGATTAGCACAGTATTTAACTTTCTGCTGATGTTTGCAGATGGTACCGCTGGGGCAAGCATCAACGAGAAAACTAGCAGTTGCAAGCCAAGGTGGGAAGCTGTGGAGATGGAAAAGAAGTCATCATCAGTGGCTCTTGCAATTCAAGTGGAAATGGCAGAAGCCATGGAGGCTATCCGAGACAATCAGGCTCAGTGACGGGACAATTACAAGGACGAAGCACCGTGTACAGTACCGAACACGTGTGTCATGAGCTGTGAGCAACTTGGGTTACTCTCACCATAATCTCTCCATCGTAGAGCTATAAGTGTGGTTCTAATGCGCTTCTATTGGAGGTAATCTTTGCTTCGAAATGTTTTTCCATTTCCACATTGCTGTCAATTGAGATGTTGATTCCTCAATGTTCTGACATTGTAGAGGGAGCGAGCTATGCTTGTAGCTGAGATGGATGGGTTGATTTTGAAAGCAAGCTAGGGTTTGATACTTCTAATGCTGTTGGGGAGCATCTTTGTAAAGGCATTGGTATGGTGATGCTGCCCCTTGATCATATATATATACTAATGAAGAACTGAGGAAAACGCAGTTCGACTGGCGAGATGTCTTATGTTCTGCCAAATATACCTAGTTCGCTGTTCAATAACCCAACACCTTGGATGGAAACACTCTCATCAAGGATGTCCGCACAAAAATTGCACAAGGAAGAAGAAGATCTCTCTGCCTTGTGTTTGTTTTTGGTCCTACTACTAGGTGCAATGTTCTTTTTTCTTTTTGTATCTGCCTAATTTGTGCCATTATTTTAGTGTGTAAAGCACAAAAGTTGATAAGAGGGGATATTCTTTGTGAACGGAGATTTGTTTTAGCAGTGTGGATATGTAAGAAGACAGCAATATATGTCATCATCTTATATGTACAAAAGGAAAATTAACTTCAAGATCTATTACCCTGTAGTCTGCTTCTTGTTTGGGGTACATTTATGATCGAAATGTGTAACAATTCATCCTTATACCATATCATTTTGACAAACAAGTATCTGTACCATACGATGTTCACTGCAAATTGTAATTAACACTTTAACAGGGACTTATAGGTTAAAGAGGCAGAGTAATGGGACTAAAAGTGAAATTAACCCATGCACAAAACTTTCGTCCAATGGCGGAGCCATTCATTAAGTTTCGGGGTGCTTGCAGCCCCTTGTTGGCCATGGATGAGCGGCAAAAAGTTAAGAAGGGAAAGGGTAACACACCAATCCTAGACAATCTTCCGTATCATCTTCATTGGATGAGTTTTTTCATTAAAGCATATGTATGACTTTATTTATCATATCAATTGGTACTAAAATTAAACCTAGTTCCCAACAATTGTTTTTTTCTCTGTCAATACTAGTGCAAACGAGATGAGTTTACTCCAAATCTTATGAATTTTTTTGTTATCAGTTGAATTCGTATATTTTATCTACCATTTGATGACAGGTTTAAAAACTTACAAAGGGTTGATGATTTAGAGAAAAAAAATGTGGAAATTAATAAGCACAAATTATATCAATTTGTTTATTTGCTTCTCAAGTTGACACTCTGTTTGTGGCAACAACAAGCGGGAAGAGATCGTTTTCATTCATGAAATATAAAAGATGATCATTAAAACCGGATGAACGATGCGTGTGCGACATATAATGAACAAGATTTGTATGCTAATTTGCACAAGAAATGTATTCTACAATATTTTTGAAATATGTAATCTCGTGCTTTGCGTTGTAAGTGGCATTTGTCGAACTATTATTATATGAATCGTGAATCTTATGTTGTTGAATTTTTATTTCGTTTAAAATTGACTTTTCTATTATTTAGTTATTTTTTATGGTATAAAGAAAAACAACCCTTGACCAATTTTCTGGCTCCGCCACTTCTTTGGTCCAGTACTTCTTCATCACTTGTTCAATGTTGCAGTAGCAGCATCATATACAACTTTTTACGTATTTCTTCTCCATAGATTGCTAGGAGGAATTCTGGACCTCTACAATCTCTTCAAATCCTTATTTGTACACACCTTTAGGAAGGAATCTTCTTCAATGGAAAGAGAGAACAAAGGAACTGGCAAAATTTGAAGCACTTTTAAGCAATATTCAAGAAGACGCTAGGCGCTATTTAGGCGAGGAGGCACCGCCCAACGCCCATGCCGATTGATCATTGCCTAGGCGAGATTAAACGTTGAAAAAAAATATGATAGATAAGCCATATTCCACAAAAGCCCAAGTCGACATATCATTTTTCATCCATTCATATACACATACAACCCTTTTCCACAATCCCAAACATCCCAAGTCGCCAACCATGAGGAGGGATCTTGTTGCTGGTCAATGAGGGGGAGCGGTTGGTTGAATGGAAATGTGAAATAGAATAGGGTTTGGGATTTTCAAAAAAAGGCTAAATTTTCCCCCTTTATTAGTTGTTCTGGGCGTCGCCCACCAGAGTGAAAACACGCCTCCGAGTGCCTAGACACCAATTAGGTGTTTTCCATGGAGATTAATCGTTTAGCATGCCTAGATCAATCGCACAGGACTAGACGAGGCGATTTCTTCCTGCCCAGCTATTAATCGCGTCTTCTTGAACACGGCTTTTAAATACCTGGAAGATATAGCCTATGGTATACACAAACACACCAACTACAAGCCCAACGGCTACCTTCTGTATTCCAGCAGCTGCTTAAGTTGACACATTCCTGCCCATTCTATACCCTCCATTCACAAGGCAGCTCAGGCTCCTCCAAAATCTCAACCGGCATCAGCCAACGCGCCACTATAATGCAGCAGACTCAGAGGAAGAGGGTTCTTGGTAACTTTGCCCTTTGGTAAAAAATCCATTCATAGGCAGTAGGGAAAAACCCAGAGATCATGTATTATTATCATCCGTTACCACACCAGTAGGCTAAGTGCTCATCCCTGCGATTCACACCAACAAGACCACCGCACTGAAAGCAGATGAAGCTGGCGCCATCACCCACAGGAATTGAAGAAAACGGTTGGGCCGCACTTTTGGGCTCCAGTGAATTAAGACTGGTTTTCAGTTTTCCTTGAGCTGGACTTGCAAGCTCAACACTTCTTGCGGCCTAACGTTCTTAGCTACATCAAAAAATCTGCCGCTCAAGCTCAATCCATTTTTGTAATGTACCCTAACACTATGTTCATGAAGGAAGGGAGGAAAAGGAAGGGAGGGTAGGAAAATTTGGAGGGGAGGTTAAGTTTGGAAGGGAGGGAAATTAGAGGGAATTGGAAAGAAAATGTTGTTTAATGGAGGAAAGTGGAAGGGAAAGTGGGAGGGAAAAGGTAGATTGAGAATTGTGATATGTATTATATTTTATTGATGATAGAATAGTTAAATAATTTAATTATGTGTTTATACTATTTACATTAATTATGTAATGTGGATCAAATTTGTTCTTCTTTGTTAATTTTGTTAACTATAACAAATCCCAAGTTACACAGATTTTACGCTTTGGAAATTAGAAGCTTACACTTTTACGCTTCTAGATTATAAAAATGATTCTACGTAGAATCGTGCTTTTCATTTACAAGCGTAGCCAAAATAACTCTTTACAACTTAAAAGCTTACGATTTTACGTTTTTGGGTCACCCAAACGCTTCTACGTAGAATTGTGTTTTTGACTGTATTGAATGGTTCTATATGGTTCATGTCATTATCTTAATTATAAGGATTAATACCGATTATTACAAATATTACTTATTCCTATCTATATCTATAACCCACGTCATCTTCTTTTCATTTTAGTTTTGAGTTTGTTGGACCAAAGTAACAAAAATAAATACGAAAGAAAAGTCTAAAATAAATACGTACAAGTAATTAGTCCAAACAAATAACACATAAATTAAAATAATTACACAAGCGAATTGCAAGACATGACTAACGTTTGTGTAGTTGCACTAAAACCCTCCACTTTAAAAAAGGAAACCATCAAGTATTAAAGTAGCTGAAAGAAAAAGAAAAAAATGTAAAATTGCACAACACAACTTTCCCTCCAATTTGGAGGGTAGCTTGGTACAGTGTTTTTTCTTTTCCTTTTCTTTCCTTGGTTACTGTTCCAGGTCTAAAAAACAGGGGAAAGCATCTGGGAACTTGTGCTTCCCCTCTAATCCCTCCCCTCCCCTCCCTTTCCCTCCTTCATGAACATAGTGTAAACAAAATAATATCCAGTCAAAATGCAGGACCAGAGGAATTATACATCACCTACTGAACCAATTAGAGTCTACAGTCTACACTACAAGCTAATCCTTCAAACAACCAACTTAAACCGACGTCGACGACGTCCCATCCTCACTCCTTGTAACTACCTCCGCTCCATCATCCTCCACCGACGCCGTCTCCTTAACCTCCTGCAACATCTTCAACACCTGCCACATCGTCGGCCTCTGCTCTGCCGCCGCCGACCTACACCTCACTGCCATTTCCAGCAGCATCTCCATCCTCACATTCCCTCCCCCGCCCTCCTCCTCCATCCCACCTCCGCCGCCCCTCACCAACTCCGCCATCTCCTCCGGCGCCATCCCCCGCAGCTCCGACGGCGCCCTCCCCGTCAGCAACTCCATCAGCAGAATCCCAAACGAATACACATCAGACTTCGTCGTCGCCGCCTCCGAATTTTGCATCTCCGGCGCCCTGTACGCAGCCGCGTCCCGGTCTTCCTCTTCCGGCGGAGAAGAATCGGCGAGCACGGCGAGGCAGTAATCGGCGATGCACGCCTCGAATTCCGGCCCGAGCAAAACGTTGGTTGACTTCAAATTGCCGTGGACCAGCCGCCACGCTTGGTGTATATAAGCCAGCCCCTGCGCCACGTCCTCCGCTATCTTCAAACACGACGTCCAGTGCATCGGCTTCCCCTTCGCCGATCTCGAACCTGGCCGCCGACCAACCAAAAAAAATAAACAGATCAGTAAAGTTTCTCCAGTCAAACAACGTTGACCAACTCTTACTGGGCCCTGGGCCCATAAAAAGATGGGCTACTACTTACCGTGGATGAGGGAGTGTAAGCTGCCGTTGGGCTGATAATCGTAGACGAGAAGCCTTTCCTGCCGAGCCTGGAAATAAGCCCTCAACGGAACCAAGTTGGGATGCCGGAGCCCGCCCACCGATTCCATGTGCGACTCGAACGATTCCTTGCTGGTGCCGCTCAATCGGACGGCGTCCAATCGCTTGACGCAGACGATCAGACGGCTGTCGAGCACGGCCTTGTAAGTGGTCCCCACCGTGCCTCTCCCCAGCAGCTCAGCCGAAGCTCGCATCAGCTGGTCCAGCGTATACAGCTGCTCCTCCCCGCAGCAGAACATCAGGCTCCCGCTCTTCGTCTTCCCAGCCAGAAGCATCCCTTGCGCCCTCCTCACTCTCTCCTCCAGCTCGCTCTCCTGCTGGTCTATCTGCAACACGGCGTCGTCGAGCACAACGGCCGCCTTCTCCGGCGACGAAAACTCGCTCCGGCTCCTCCGTCTCCTCCTAATCGCCACCGCGAAACAGAGCAGCAGCGACGACAAAATAATCGCGAAAACCGCCGCAGAAAATCCGATAATCACCGATTTCCTCTTGTGGTGGTCTGGATCTCGGCTCGGATGAGTTAAATTGACGCCGCGGAGCTCCGCGGATTGGCCCGATGGCGCCGCCGGCGCCGTCGGGCGTGACGGCGACGGGGAGCCGAAGAAGGGAGTTCCGGGATGGCACTCCCTTTTCAAGATCTTGCCGCAGAGGTTAGGGTTTAGGGAGAAGGACGAGATCTCGAGGCGGAGTAGCGTCGGGGTGAGGGGAATCGCTCCATTGAGGTCGACATTGTGGGAGACGTTGAAAGCGAGGAGGGAGGACTGGTTGAGCGGCGGGATGGAGCCGTTGAATCGGTTCCACTCGAGGCGGAGCGAGTTCAATCGGTCGAGGGAGGCGAGCCATCGGGGCAAGGGGCCGGAGAGGCTGTTGTGGGAGAGGTCGATGGTGCGGAGGCGGTGGAGGGCGGCGAGGGAAGGAGGCAAG